GGTCACACACATATTCTAGACTACTGGCGTACCCTTCGCGGCGAGAAGATTCTCTTTGACAACCAGGTTCTCGTAGGACCGACCAAAATGGGCCATGCCGGCGTGCTAGAATGGTGGAAGCGCAGCGGCCTGAAGGTGGAGTACAAGACGTGTGATATCGAAGAAGCATTAGAGGATGGTGTTGAGGGAGCGCGGGGAGATGCCGTGCGAAGATGGTGGGCGTTGAACGGATTAAACCTTGGGATCGGAACGAGCGAGTGGATGAAGATCAAGGTCTTGGGGTCGTGATGGTGAATTAGGGAGGCGGAGCAGGTGTAGACAGTATCATAGCATTATAGCATAGCAAGCGACTTTTCTGACAACCATCCTGATTATCATTTCATACGAGGGAAAAATTGAACCTACCTTCTCGAAGTATACATTGCCTTAGAGAATATGTACGTTCCAAGTTTTATACTAATGCAGACGACAGAGCACCCGTTCAGTCTTTGCATGAGGTGCTATTCCCATTGCCAGCGGAATTGACTACTCAAAAAGACCGCAAGCCCCGCCGACAGGGTCTTCTTACCCGTTGTGGCCGGAGCTCGGAAGCCTTGGGTCGGTGAGCGCCTGAGCCAATGGCTGAAGAGCAATTTGACTTTGAGCGCGAGCGCCTCTGCAACGCCTAAACCGACCTCGGGAGAAGCTAGCTAATCAACCCGCTACAACTGTGCACAACTTCTTATCCGCCGTGTTCATTCCCATCTGACCACCTCCACGTCAACGCAACCGTCTCCCGTCCAATTCTCTCCCCGCCTCGACGCACGCAGTATACGACCTCGGTTTTCCGCCTTAAGACCACGTACCCCGAATTTCCGCTACACCACCACAATGTCTGCCGACAAGGAATTCACCTACTCCGACGTCTCGGAGCACAACACCAAGAAGGACCTATACATCGTCGTCCACGACAAAGTCTACAACGCATCGAGCTTCGTAGACGAGCACCCGTACGTTCGCTGCCCTGTCCTGCCCGCCGCGTAATGCACACCTCGGCATTCGCATACTCATACTTGTTATGGCCAAAAGCCCCGCCTTCACATGTGTCGGGTCAATGGTCACAGCAACGGTTGCTAACACATGTACAGAGGTGGTGAGGAGGTTCTTCTTGATGTCGGAGGCCAGGACTCCACAGAAGCCTTTGAGGATGTTGGTCACTCGGATGAAGCCCGTGAGATCCTCGATGGGCTGCTTGTTGGAAACTTGAAGCGTCAGGTACGACACCCCCCTCCACACCTCAATCTCGCACATATACCCCGATTCCTCTACCTTTCTTCACACGAAACAAATCCCCGCGACATACCACACATCTATCTCCCGCGACCCCGTATGCCGCGCCCAGAAGCCGGTCCTCGGGTCAAGGAACTTCTTCGGAACGATTCCGCCCACCATGCACGGAAACGAAACAACCCGTTCTCCGTATCCACAAAACAGAACAACAATACTGACGAGTGAGAAACAGGAGGGCGACCCAAAGCCCAAGAGCTACGCGCAACCCGGTACAACCGCTACCACCACCGACGGCGCATCCACTGGTGTCGGTCTCTACGCTATCATCCTACTTGGCGGTGCGCTCGCATTCGCTGCCTACACCATGATGAACAAGCAGTCTTCTGAGTAAAGACTGTTCTTCTGCACCAAGAAAGGAGTAAAACGATATTGAACCCACGATCGACGAGGTTTCTGGGCCTGAATGGGCGAGAGAGGAAGTCCCGCTTGGACAAGACAATGGGACTGGGGTATATCTATACAGAGGCGGTGCCATGTGGTATTGATCGCATGGATGGGGTATATTTTATATATGGCGTAGGCTGCGTTTCGAGCTTTCATCATGCTGCGGACGAGCTATTGGAATAGATCGATTTAACTTTCTTCAATCGAAACTTCGTACGTGTCCTGACAGATGTGCAAAAGAAGACATTTCGCATTATTTCTTTGCTCTGGGCTCCTCGTTTCCCGCTCCGCGTAACTTATGAGCTTGAAATGGAAATTGTCAGATGATAGAGTTACTTCTTGCGTGTTCTTGTTAATGAAGAGAGCACATGAACATTTTTACCGTTCTTATCACGTCTCCAACACATGTGTTACACTTTGATAAGGGTATCATTCAACTCCCAAGTATGCATCTCCATCTCCATCTCCATCTTCCATGCCTCCCACCCAATCCATTTACTTTTCCAAACCCTACATATTCCTAAAAACATTGTTACTAGCATTCCTCCTCCCACCCTCCTTCCTCCGATCATGCCTCTGCCCCTCCTGCTCCGGCCTCTTCCTCTGCTTCTTCTCCGGCGCAAATGTAATCTCCCTCTCACCCACCACCGTCGTGTTACTCGCCGACTTGGCCGGTTTCCTATCCTTAAGCTTACTAACACGCGAACCAAATGTCTTGTCCTTCGCCATCGCAGACGACCCCGATTTCCGTTGGTTCGACGACGAAACAACCATTTCGGGACCACTGCGTTGCGAGCGATGACCTGCTTTGCGGTAGGCGCTGGATGAAATACGGGAGTTGTCTTGTTTTTCCTTCTGCTGTTGAGGTTTCTTCGCAGGACGCACGGCGTCCTTTTCAGAGTCTGAAGAGTCTGAATCCGAGGAGCCTTTTCTTGATTCGAGGTCTTCTTGCTCGGCAGCGGTGAGACCCTTGGGGATCTTGGTGCTGGGGTTGAGCTGCTGGAACTCGCGGGTTTGCTCGTCGATTTCGAATTCGGGGTCTTCGAACATTTTGGCGAAACGAGGGTCGTTGAGGACGCCGTCGGCGGGTTTGGTGGGTTCGGAGACGGCGGGTGCGGTGCTGGTGGCGTCGAGCATGTCGTCGTCGCCGCCTTGCTTGAGGACGCGCTTGGCTTGCCGGCGCGCTTGCTCTTCTTGCTTTTCCAGCATCTTTTCTGCGAGCTTTCGGTTGACTTTGACGGCCACTTTTTTGTTGCCGCGGATTCGGGACTCGCGCTCTTTGCTGATCTTCTCGGCGATGCTCTTGGCGCGTTGTTCTTGCCAGAGGTCTGGGTTCGAGATGAGGCGCGCTTCTTCGTACAGCTTCTGGGCGACGAAGAAACCGTGCATGTAGGGTCGCAGTAGACTTGTGGTTCCGACAAGGTGGTCCAATGATAGCTGCTTCAGCTGCTCGTGTGTCAGGAACTTGAAGTTGTCGTATACATCTCCAGATGCGCCCTTGCCGAAAGCATTGGGGTCGTTGGGGTCTTCGGCCATTTCTTCCACAATGTTGTCGAGGAAGGAGCACCATTTTGGCGCCGGACCGAGCTGCGGAATGAAGAAGGAATGTTGTTGCCTGCCCTCGTTCGCCGTCAGGAGCATGCCAGTCTTTGGCACCCATTCGACGTGGTTGAGGTCTACTGATGGTTCCACGGAGGTCCATGGTGTGCCGTCCTTGGGATCCCAGATCTTGATGACCCTCTTGTCTGCGGTCAAAATCTTGGGCTCGGCAGTTTGCGCGCCGTCGAGGTAGATGATGTTCTTTATCGGGTAGCCGTATCCTTGGTCCTTTCGCAGAAGGGGCTTGGGTGATCGGAGATCGTAAAGTTGTACAATGCCGTTGGAGTCTCCCACGGCAACTTCCAGACCTGACGACGGGAAGGTCAGCGCTGTGATTTCCGACTTTCCCTCAAACGCATCTGGGGGCGCCGACAGAATGCCCACTCGGTTTCTTGATCGCGAGTCCCAGTACTCAACTGTGCCGATAGAGGTACCGAAGGCGAGGAGGCCATGCGAATGTTCGGCAATAGCACCGGTGTTCACTGCGCCCGCGCCGATGCCACCCTGGAGAGCGCCCCCGCCGACTGTCGTCACATCGTCACCACCCACGTCAATCTCGTAACTCCGCATAAAGCGCCCGACTTCCAGGTTCAATCTGAAGGCCTCGCCCATGCCGTCCGCATTTACACCGACAGCGGGTACCAGGCACTCTGCTGATCTCCGGTCGTAGATAAGATCGCGACCGTAACGTGGTATGCGACTCGCATAGTGGAGGCCTCCACCGGTGTGGAATTCTATGCATCGATCTTGCTGGAGATGTACGCTCTTTTTGGCGTCGGAGGAGAGGAGGTGGAAGGTTTGGTTCTGCGGAAATTAGTATGCATTGTGGTGAATAGTAAGAAGGGAAAGACCGTACAAGAGTATTGGTGTGTCTTGCAAAGGACAGCGACAGATGGGGAAGGTAGTGGACGTGTATTTGAGGCTTGTAGGTGCCTGTGCTCATGACCCAGTCGCCATCCTCGCTCACACGAACACACTGGCTGGCTTCCTCAAACTCGAAATCTTGCAGCAGGTCGACGCGGTTGGCGAATTCGGGGTCGTTCTTCAGACTGCGCTTTCTTTTCCGGATAAGCCACTCGGGCAGCGGGCGCGCCTCGCTGCCACTGATGGTGTATACCGGAACGGCGCCTGAGGAAATCTTCATGGTGGCGTGGTGAGGTAATGCGACAGAGCGGCAGCAGAGAACGTTTGGAAGTTCGCGATGAAAAAAGAGTGGAGCCGTTAGTACTAAGCGCAACTCCGGGCGTGCACCCGGGCGACATGGATGTGTGGGCTAGCGACCGCGAGCCAGCCGCCGTCGACTGGTCTGCCTCTTCCGCGTAGCTGACATCGCATGCACTTGCTTTTTCGCTGCCGGGTCCAGTCGCTCTGTCCCTCAAGTGCTTGTACTGCCCACCCTGTACCACGTCGTTGCAATCGGGAGGCGCCGAACGCTGCATCCGGCTCTCTCCCCGTGTTCGGAGCCATGATCACTTCTCCTACGCGTCTAGATCATGCCGATACACTGACCCTCGACCCTCGACGCCCCGCCCACACCACTCCTCCATCGCTTTGATAGACACTGTCGCGCGTGACGCGCTGGGCGGACCGCAGCGGAGTTGATGGAAAAAGTGTACAGCGCAGTCTTGGGAGTGAAAATACGCCGCGCATACCACCTGAATGTCCCTTAACAAGGAGCCATCTCTCTAATGGAATTTCTCAAAACCTGTACTACGAATGCGCAAGCTATAGTACGTCGGAATATATTCGTACGCGATGGCACGCTGACAATATACAGGGAGACTTTGAGGCTGTCGCATACCACGCCTTCTCAATCACCCGCACCACCACCCCCACCTCCTCGAGAACGCGAGACTGGAATGCTTCCGACGACATACGCGCAGTCGAAGCCGACCTGCGACAGGACCTGCACCTTGTTGCGCAGGATGCATCGCGACCGTGGCTATGGCTGTTCAAGCCCACGACCGTCGATAAGATAGAGCCGAACGTCGACCTCCCAGAGCTCGACGGCTATCGCCTGCACAGTAGGTCGCACTCGCACCTTCCCAAAATTACGACTGACACGTGCTAGGCGAGCAGACAGGATGCACCAAGGCCATCGATCTAGCGCGGCCTCCCATGCGCCCGGGCAACCCCAACACCACCGCGGCTTCGAATAACTCCCCATCGGCAACAGCACCACAAAGGGGCCTGCCTGCTGGCAGTGCGAGATCGTCACAGGGCAACAGCCAGGCCTCGGCATCTGATGCCCCTGCGCCGCCCGATTGCTTCACAGTCTATGAGCTCTTCACGTCATCCGTCATTGCTCTCATCTCGTTCAACATCGTCAAAGATTGCAATGTGACTGCCTTGAACTTCCGCACGTTTGTTTCCAAGGCTTACAAGCAGATAGACGATGAGGATGAGATTGAACCACCAGACTGCGTGCATCGCATGACAAGCATCAATGTACATTGGGCCAGCTCGGGCACACTCCTCGTATCGACTTTCACTGACCAAAAGACTGATATTCGTTGCGTCGGCGACGTGTCCACGCAAGCTGGAGAGCAGTCTCTTGTTGGTAGATGTATCCGAGTGGCTCCGAATGGCCTGCTTGCAACAATAACGAGTCTTGAAGATCCGCTTGACTCCCTCGTAGAGGAGATAGGCCTCCGTCATAGAAAACGCACTAGACTCACCACCTTAGAGCAGAGCATTGAGAACTGGAAGTCGAGTGTCAAGCGTTGGCTGGGCTGGAAGGGCTTCACTTTGCCTGACCTGGAGAAGAAAAGCTCTTGGGTTAGAATACGCATGACCTCAGTTAACAACCCTCTAGTCTCGAGCCCGGCTTTAGCAGGTCAGGATCGAGACGTCCTCTGGCCCAGAGCACTGTGCTTCTTTCATGCATCAGAAGAACACGAGATGACGTCTGCGGAGCCGGCTAGTGTGGCGGCAGCTGGCGGCCACAATATGCTGAGATGGTACGACACGCCAGAATCAATGGGCTTCAAGGATCCACTTGATGCCGCACAGGAGTGGTTCCTAGGAAAGCCGGATCGTGACAAGATTCTTGAAGCGAGACGAAAAGCGAAGAAGGCTGAAGAGGACGCTGCCCGTCTCAAGGACGAACAACAGAACATGATCGCCTCATCACCTGTAAACGCTCGTGGTGCCTATGGGGACCTGCATCCTGCAGGTGGTGTCTACCCCACACCTCCGGATGGGGTTATTCCTGGAACTGCGGTCTCCCATAGCGACACACCGAGCGTATCCGGCACGGTCTCCAACGTTATCCTAGCACCCGGAGGCAGCAACCCCGCCATCAATCTCTCCGCTCCACAAGACGACACCAAGATGGAAGATCAACAAATGCCTTTGACGTCACCCGTCGCACCTGCGCCAGACAGCTTCAATGCATCCGGTGGAAACGACGATCTTTTCGGCGACGATATGGACGAAGATGGATACGGAGGGGATCGCATCAACGACACGGATTTCGACTTCTTTGACGGACCGGACGATAACGATATTGACATGATGGACGCACCTCAGCTGCCAGATACAGGTGTAGCGCCTGCAAACACATCACGAAAGCCCGAGTCTCAAGTCGCTGTCGAACCCAAGACCGAAGAAGACACATCTGACCCTTTCGCTGCACTCGAAAGTGCGTTGAATACGGCTTCTGAGCCTCCCGTGGACGTGAAGAAAGAAGACAAAGGCAAACAGCCTATGGCCGTGGAAGAACCGCCAAACGAAAGCGCCGACCTGTTTGAGGAGAAAACTGCCGTCCCAACACCAAAAGCAAAAGTGTCATTCTCCAAGGAGCCAACTCCACCACTAAGCCCGAGCGCTGTTTCCAAGGCACTGCAACCATCTCCGCCGAATAAGAAGACATCGCATGCTCGAGCGACTCAACCCACGGATACCCCACATGATACCCACTTCAGCCCGGTGGCTTTCAGTCGCAAGATGAGCATGTCTGATGCAAAGTATCAGGATGGACGATTCAGCACGCATCACTCTGTGGAACATGGCCGTAACAGTATCTCCAGCCCTAGTCCCGGTGCTGGGGCCACCGTCACCCAGGCAAAAAGTCTGAGAGACATACCTCTACTTACGAAGCTTCGTATCACTGTAGGGGCCGCGTCTACGCATCAGATACCAGAAATAGCATCTCTGGCTCGAGCAGCTAGCGAAGACTCGGATTCTAGTGAGACGTCAGACGAATCCGATGAAGACTCTGGAGAAGATGAGGAAGTGGAAGCGACGCCCACAGCTACCATAGGCGGACTAGTCATGCCTGCGAAGAGGAAGTTACAGAGCGAGGGCAACGCCACGCCGCTCTCGGTGACGTCGTTCGCGGACTCGATGGGAGGCGATTGGCAAGATTTACACGGTCTTCAACTTGATGAGTCAAACCTGAACAATTTCGAGCCAAGCTTATGGGATTGGTCTTTGGTCCATTTCCCGTCTCCGGTGGAACGACACTTAGCTGGCGCGCGCTACAGTCTACCTACCCTACAGACAAACCCAGCGCAAATGCCCGACACTCCCACCTCTCAGCCTGAGATGAGTTACGAAGTATCAGAAGAGAAGCCTTTGAGTGCCAAGGATAGCATCTCAATTACGCAGATTGTAACAGACCAGATTGTGTCTGCAACTCTGGATCTGCTGGGAGAAGATGTACCCTTCGAAAAAGAATCTGGAAGTGATGAGATGGCAGAGACGCGCTGGCAGGCTGTCATCAAAGAGCTCTTCCCAGCGGCCGAGGATTGTGACCTACCTACACTTGCAGGCGTGCACGAGGTCTTCCAGGACTATGCCGCCCTGGCAAAAGCGCAGCAGAGGCCACCTGCACGGAAGAGTGATGGCCCGGCAGTTACCGGGAGCCACATGTACCAGATCAACGCACCCTTCTTGAGGGTACGCCGTGCGGAGACGCATTGGGATTTGCTTCCACCAGCAGTAGCGTTCTGGGAGCCCTTGGGATTATCACCCATCAGTCCTCCCAAGAATGTCGTTACATTCTGTGTATACCCTCATAGCGATGCTCTACGACCCTGCCTTGAGAACTTCCTGCTCAATCTTCAGCTTGCTTACGACAGCTGCAAGCTCGGTTCACACTCTCGCGTCGAGACGGTTGTCGAGTTTGAAGGGGGTCTTGTGCCTGTGAGGGCCAGCTCGTCCATCACACCGTCGGAGACATTCAAGCTCCTCAGAGAGACCTGCGTCCAGCTCGGAAAGCTTCTCGCCATACAGCATGGGAAGATACGGGAGCAACAAGATTCAAAAATCGACGCATTCGTCATTTACATGATCGATCCTTTCGGCGGTCCGTCTGCGCTTTGGGAACTGTGCTCGGCGTTCTGGGCGCTCTTCCAAGCGTATGGTCAAGGGACACCAGGACGTCCAGATCAGCCCCAGAAGCCGGATCTGGTGCTTCAGGTTATACCGATCAAGTACATCGCTTCGTTCGACGCCCCCGTCATCCTGGATCCGGCTACTTACTTCAGTCTTGCACGAGAGGTCTACGATCGATGCCCACCGAGTGCACCTAATAGCGACAAAACATCGCTCAGCATATATGCGGCACCTGCTTTCCATCTCGAGGAGACGCTTCCACGAAACATACCATTCAAGCTGATACCCGAGCCAGCGCAGGACCTGCTTCGAGAGAATACCTATATGCATCTTGCTTACGCGATCAGTCTCGATGGCACTTGGGTCACAGCAGCTTGGACCGACAGCTGTGGCAAGTCACAAGCCGTCGTCTCGTACCATCTAGGTACGCGTGTGTTCAGAGAAGTCGCAAAAGAGATATGGCAGACGACTATCGAGATCTTACAGTCACGAAGAGTCAACTGGCGTGTTTGCATTGCCAAAGCCGGAGTTCTGGAAAGAGAGGAATTGGAGACATGGGTCTACCTCATCTCGTGTCCGACACAAATCAACGTGTTCGTCACGTTGCTCACAGCAGTAGATGCAGATCCACCGTACAAGTTCATACCCACCATGGCTGCTCCAAGCACAACCACTGGCGGCGGTGCAAGCCCTCCAGACTCCACCTCCCAAGCTGGCGTCTCCCCCTCCGATCCAGGACCAGGTCTGACACCCGCTGCAACACCCTCCGCGGACCCTTCTGCTACCGACCCAACAGCAGACCCAGAAGCCCGCCTAGTCGACGTGACAGACGAAACCTGGGGTGTAATCCTCGCCCACCGCCTCCACAACACCCACTCGACAACGCAATTCAGCCCCGCCCTCATCTCGGGCCTCCTCGTCAAACGCGGCGAAACCCACCAAACAACCAACAGCATCTCGCACCCCATCCCCGACCCAGAACCCGGTCCCATCGTCATAGCCGTAAACTTCCTCTGGATCGGCGCCGTAGGCTCTACCCGCGCTGCCTCCTCTCCCTTCCCACCCTCTTCCAGCACTAGCACCAGCAGTGGTAGTAGTTCCGCCTCTTCCGACCTCCCCAGTCCAGGTGGCGCTGGTGCTGGCCTGCCTAATCCTTACGCTAGTAATCCGGGTACGCCGCAGAGTCCGGGGCCGGGGCAGGATCCTGCGCAGAGGAGTACGACGAGTCTTATGTGGACGCCTACGCCGCAGACGAGGACGACGGCTGAGGGGCTTTTGAAGGAGGTGCTGGGGCAGTTTAGGGCGTTGGGTGTTTTGGCGAAGTTGAGGGGGATGAGGGGGACGAGGAATGGGACGGTGCCTTGGCATGTTGTTGCTGCTAAGAGGGGGGTTGAGGGGTTGAGTCGGATTGGTGGGGCGGTTTAGTAGGCCGTTGGGTAATCTGTTTTGATTTTTGGAAGGTGTTTAGGATGAGTTTTGGGATGTTAGGTTGATATATGGCGTTTCTTGGTTTCTGGGATCTGTATTGTTTATGAAGGGATGATGTTATCATCACGTATTTACTTCCGCCATGTTGTCACGTCTAGCATCACCCCAATTTGGTTGATTTAATGTAGTCATAATCATGCCGTTTCAACTATCGTCTTGTACTCTAGACATTACAACACTTCCGTCCATTGCTTTATCCCTCAATCCCCAAATGATCAACCTTTTCCACTTTCTTCCCCTGCTTCTGTTCCTGCGTCATCCCACTCTCCTTCGCTTTCAAACTACTCTGCTGTGCGTTTCCTGCCGCGTATGCACTTCCTCTGCCGCCGGCTGCTGCGCTCGCGGTACCTAGATCATCCAATTAGTGAGACTGTAGTCAAATAACGAGGTGGTCAAAGAAGGGGTAAGTGAGGGATCTGCTGGATATATTGGGGCATTGGATGGGATGGGATGGAATAGGATGGATGGGTAATTAGTTACCTTTATCGTGCTTGTCTTCAGTAGTAGTACTCGACCCATCAGCATTCTGATGCGTAGTTTTCTTTTGCTTGGAAGAGAAGGCGCCGGAGAGGGCGCCGAAGAGGTTGAGGTTTAGACCTGCCTTTTACACTTTGTTAGCACGCGTTCGTCTAGCTACTCCTACTACCCATCTACCCGTGGTAATACATCAAGCGGTACTGTAGATGATGCTATGTGACAGAGTGTAATGGTAAGGCAGGGTAGGGAAAATTTAAAAAAAAGGGAATGGATAGGGAGGACATACAGAAGCATTCGCACTAGCATGATGTTCTTGCACCTCTCTACTTCCCGCACCTTGACGCTGCTGCTGTACTTGTTGGGACGAGGTGTCTTGTTTGGATACCGCTTGTGTCATTTTGAAGAAGAAATCGCTCTGTCTTCTTCAGTTGTTGCTTGAACGTGGATGTGGTGATGGTGCGTGTAACGGGTATCGTGACTCGCAAATCAAGACGTGCAGTTTTATTGATGATTTTAAGAAAGAGGAATCAAGGAGGTTGGTTGCGAATGAGTCTCCGCGGATGAAAGTGGTACGCATGCTTTGTATGCATGGCCGCGTGCCTTGGTGGTGAAGGTTTGGGCGTATGACGTCATGGGCTGGATTGGGAGTGAGGCTGGGGTGGGGAGCAGGTTTTGGTGTGAACGCGCGCAGGGTCTGGGATTAACTGCAGGGGTACAACAACGTCTTAAAAATACGGAGTACATGTGTGTGACTTTCGTGTCGCATTTGATCGTGTTGGTAGGGGTGTTCTGTGTGGTATGAAGCAGCAGCATGATTACGGAAAGAAAAGATAGTCATTCAACGTGGTACATTCAACAAACTCCGCGCTTCGTATTAATCGCGTAAGGTGAACCAAGCCTTGCTTCGAAAAGGACCGAAACACCATCCCCCAGCCCGATAGCACATCCAGCCAGGTTTATGTCAGATCCAACATCTCAACAGCACTCTCGCGCCATTTCCGTCTCTCCTTGCCCTTGAGCACAAGTCCTGCTTCACCATCTACTGTCTTCTCCGGACTATCGACATCTACATAAGTCCAGGCGCCGACTACACTCTTCCGCAGTACGATTGCGCGTTTCTTCTTCTCTCGCGCTTTCCATGCTGCTGGCGGGGAGTTGCGAGATGGCGGCTGTGGTGATGTAGATTTGTGATCACGTGGTGAGCGGCGGAGAGAGGAAGGTGAGGTCGAGGTCGGTGGAGGGGATGCTGGGGCAGGTGCTGTCGGTGCTGGGTCGTGCTCGACTACAGGGGATGACAGTCCAGTAAGATCAAGCGTTTCGACATTTGGTGATGCGGATCGCGGTCTCGGCAGGATAGGTTCCGGCGATGTGAGGTCAAGAGTATCAGCCGTTGGTGATTCTGATCTTGGTTTTGCTGGAAGAAGCTGTGGTGATGTGAGATCGAGGCAGCCGGCTTCAGGGGGCGCGGACAGGGTTTTGCTGAGACGAGGTGAAGTACGTCGAGGTCGAGATGGGCCAAATACGTCTCTTATACTCTTCTTCTTGTTGGATGAGGAGGCTGTTGATGATGCCGAATTTGTGGATGTATGCGACGCATTCGACGATATCGATGTTAATGGTGGACGCGTCGTGGACGTGTTCGAAGTTGGTATTGCGCCGGTACTAGCATTTTGTTGATGTCGCGTTTCTCGTACCGGCGACGAAAGCGTCAAGTCTAGCGAGTCGACTTCTTCTGACAGGGAGCGAAGTTGGGGTGGTGGCGCTGCATTGACGGCTGGTGTCACGCCCCGTCGCTTAGTCGGCGTCACTGATGCTCGCCATGCATCCAACGTCGACTGCTTCGATTTGCTGGGGGACAAGGCTACAGAAGTATCTCGGGACGCTGTTGTAGCCGGCGCATCCTTGGTCCTTCGTGTCCTCGCCTTCTTCGCGGGTAATTGTGAGGGTGAGGGATGGGCAGGCGAATCCACCAAGTCTAGTGTTTCTATCGTGTTCAGAAGAGGAGGCGTCGATGGTCGTTCAGGAACCGCATTGATATCAGCGGGAAGTGTTTTGGAGCGTTGAATCGGGGCTCGTCTTCTCCGCTTGCTCACACTTGGAGGCAGATCTGCAATGGGGGGAGACACCGACTTCTCGCGTTCAGGTGGTGGCGGCTGTACAATATCCCGAGTCCTTACTGGCGAGGAAGAGAGAAGGTCAATCACATCGTCTTGTTGTGGTGCAGACTGTGGGACAGGTACAGCGACCTCAGCAACCTTGTCCTGTGTCTTTGCGAGAGCTCGCGAGAGCTTCGAGCCCGGTTTCGTTACCTTGGCGAAGGTTTCGATGCGAGCCTGCGGTTGATCACCGGCTGTTTTTGTTCGCTTAGGAGCAGCCTTGGCCTTTGGCGCCGCTTTGCCAGGCTCTTGCACAGTTGCTGCTCGCTTGGGTTTCAGTTTCGTCTGTCGCCCGGCTTCCCAATCTTCAACCGTGAGCGGCACACCAACCTTGACGAAGGTCTCCATCACCCAGATTCTTGCAGCCTTCTCTGGGTCGAACTTTGTAGGTCCACGCTTCTTAGGACCTTCATCTTCTAGATCTTCATCGTCGAGTTCCGCATCACCCCCGGCTTGCTGAGAACTAGGTGGTACTTCCACATCATCGTCTGGATCCTCCTTACTAAGGTCGATCTTGACAAGCTCAATGGGCGTGAAGCTTACTCGCAATTCTGTGCAGTTGTCCGTGACCGAATGCTGTCGCTTGCCATGCAGGCCTTTGATGAGAAGAGATTCGTCCTCTTGTACCGCCTGGATGTTGTTCGTAGGTAGTCGATCGAGGTTTCCAGCGCGTATACGTAGCTGGCGCACAACCATCGAAGGTGCCAAACTGCGGACGAAGTGCTTTGCGCCTTCGAGCTTGACCCAGTCGAACGCATCGTGTGTAAACTCGCGCAAGCCCGAGAAATCCAAATCTTGGTCCCATTTGATCGATCGGCGCAGTTTATCCAATCCCGCTTGATTCGAAATGGCCGGGTGTGTGTAGTATCCAAGGATGTCCAAACGCGGAAAGTCGTCTGGGATCTTCAGTGCACCGTGCTTGCGCTTGAAGTGCTTGCTCTCGTTCGTCTTCAGCTCATGCTGCAGTCGCTCTCGCCATTGCGACATGGCTCTGGCGTCGTTCTTCGGGATCTTGCAAAGGTCGGCGCCGAAACCTGCCTTCGCAGCCTCGCATGCAGTCTTTGGGCCACATCCAGGTATACCCTCAGGGACGTAATCTCCTCCACTCATGAGCGCGACGAGTATCATGCCCTCGCGATCCAATCCTGACGGTCCGTTCTTTGTTTCAACCGCATCGTATACGTTGACGTGTGTTGGCGTCTTTCCCGTCTTCTCCGGTGACCAGTTGCGTATCGTTATGCCACTTCCAAACATGAGTGTGTCGACATCTTCACTCAAAACCGCATCCACTATTCCCTCTCGCTGAAGTAGCGCGCATTCTGCCTCAGCTTCACCCGGCGCAAGATGTATCGGATATCCAAATTGCTTCAACAGCTGCTTTGCGAGGAATTCGGGGATGGATGCGACATTTGGTCCGGTGCGTTTGTTGCGCTTGAAGGGCGGCTTGTTTGGTCCATCGAAGACGAAGACGGGATGGATGGCGAGCGAGATGAGGCGAAGGAGGCGGTAATAGAAGGTGCGCAACGCCGGGTTGGTGCCGCCTATTCACAGTCAGCATAGCGCAAGCATGTACATGATGCCAAAGCTCTACCTTTACTAGCTTGTATCTGGAAAAGCCATATTGATGTGTCGATAGCAATGCGCAGAGGCCGTCCGGTCTCTTCGAACTTTTCGACGGCGAGCTTTGACAGGGCTACGCGCTTTCCGGGGCCGATCTCCTTGTAGATACTGCGCGAATCAGTATAGAAAGTGGTAAAAGAGACTGCGCAACTCACCCATGAATACCCATCGCGCCTCCATAGTCTGCACTCGGTCGTCTCGCCGGCTGCCTTGTTGGTGGTGTCGCGCGTAGCAGCGCGTGATAAGATAGTTGCTAGGGCGACAGCGCGTGGCCCGTCCCGCATTCTGACGGATGCCGCACGTTTGTTCCCCACCCACATGCATTCCTCTCGCACTAACAACCAAGACACCCCTCCGACCCTTCTAAGACATGGCGCCCCGCGGCCGAAGCGCAACGGCAGGCGACGATGCCCACAGCGATCGCAGCTACGACTCGAGCCCGGATCCGCTGGCCCTCTCCTTCGACAACACCATCACATCCGCCCGCAAGCCCAGGCCGCGTGACTCCATGGCGGGCAGCTCGCCGACCAAGCAGAACCGCAGGTTGGAGGCCTCGGAGATGATGTTCTCGTCGCCCACCAAGTCCATGATCATGAGCACACCACGCGGCGGCGGCGCGAGCCCCTGGCGCATCAAGGTCACCGTCCAGGCTGAACCCGGAAGCGACGACGTCAACGCATCCCCATCCGTGAAGCGAGTGACCACGAGAACGAAGACGACGACGGTGCCATTGAAGGATCACGATACCTCCTCGCCTGTCAAACGCCCCCGCGGACGCCCCCGAAAGTCTGACGTGGGCGCCACTCCTAAACCAAAGCGAAAGGGAACACCAGTCAAGAGACGCGCACGATCCGGATCACGCGAGTTGAATATGAAGGGTGGAGAGTCAAGCGCAGCCGATGTGGACACCGATGTGCCGCCAAAGAAGCGGAGAGGCCGGCCCAGGAAGGTCGTCGCCGTGGCCGAAGATTCTGAGACCCGGGAAGGGTCGGTGCAAGATACTACGCCTGTACTCCCTTCGAGTTCAAAGTCCGGAATCTCAAAAAAGAGCGCGCATTTCGCAGATCTCCCCGGCCCCACTACCGAGACCATGAGCGATGCGCTGATGGAGGCCGAGGAATTGCCCAACTTGAGCTCGCCGATACAAAGGAGCATGAAGCAGGATTTGCGAACGCGCAAGGGCACCCCACACGCGAACAAGGTGGTACTAATGGAGTCTGACGAGCACGAAGAGGAGGGAAGCGATGTCCTTACGCCGACCAGTGGAGACGACGCAGAACCTATACAGCCCGAGGATCTCGATTTCTCGGAAGACGGCCATGCCAGCCTCCCCACCCCTAGCGAGAGCTCTGCCCATGCGAGCGATGCCGAAGACGACCAAGCCCAAGCTTTTGAAGACGACGAACCCGACAACCGAAACGACGCAGATGTCGCTTTTAACGAAGGGACAATGAGAATGCGAGACGATACCGTTGGCAACGAGAGCTTCACCATGATTTCACTGGATACGTTGCTTAGTAACGGACCGCGGAGTACGCGAAAGCCTGCAGATACGCAGAACACCACAGCACCAGCCGTTGGATCATCACTGAGAAACGAATATTCCAAGCCAAATACGGCTACAACGCACAATACTGGACCATCGACGAGCGAAGAGCCATCACCTCCATCCCAGACCTTCACAGCACTCTCTGGCCCTACACGACCAAAACTATCGCGTTTCGTGACACCTGTCATAGATGCCGACGTTCCATCAGCGCCGCCCGCTATAGAGCCTAGTCCACCCAAAGCTCAGACACCGACGCTCGGGCGTGTAGTCACCGCCGGCGTAGCTTTACAAGGCTTGCTGGATCCGAATCGTCTTTCGTCTACGCCCGAACCTCCTCAACAGGCACTCGACAAGAAGCGTGACGAGCTTGATGATCTGTTCCGGGGATTCAGCGAGGGCACGCGGAAAGAGCTTCAAGCGGGCTTACGTCTTGGTGAGCAGCTTGCGGGCCAGCCATATGAAGAGAGTGCGCCCGCTCCTTCAAGTCCCATCAAAAGCAATCCTACGGTAGCTCCCAAACAAGGTGTGTTCCGAACGCATCGAAAACGTCAGTCACGTCTTCTTACTCCCGAAGACCAGGATCATGCCGTCTCACCAGTGGAGCCAACCGCCACAGCGGACGAGGTGCAATACCCGGTCCTGGATGTTGAAGAAGAGAGCGCACCGGTGAGCCCTGCAAGGAGCGAGGGTCAGATGAGCTGGCGGGCCGACACACCTCCTGCGAAACGAACTAGCTTGGCACAAAGAGATGTTGAGATGGAAGAACCCCGACAGGATCATGCTGCAGAACAGGCAGACATACCTGCCCAATGGGATGACTTCGCTGACATCTGGCAAGAAGAGGCTAGTCGTTCGGTGGTCTCAGTTGAGGAAGAGGAAGCGCCTATACAGAAGGAAGCCCCTGTGGAGGAAGAGAAGTCGCTCCGCGATGTCTTCACGGAGGACATTCCCACTAAATCGGCTGCAAGGACCTGGCGTCGTAGAAAGGCGAATGAAGCTCTTTACAACAAGAAAGTTGAGTTACAGCGAGAACCGAGCCCTGCCCAGGCGGAACCTGCAATCACAGAACAACCCGAAGATGACGAAGTCGAAGAAGAACAGGATGAGCAGGATGAGGATGTCGTAACTCCACTGGAGGAAGACAAGCCGATCCAAATTGACGATGAGTCGAGTCCGGCAAGCGAGGCCAGTGATGACACCGGCATGTTCTTCCAATCGAATATGCCCAATGTCTTCAATCAAAAGCGACCATCCCGTTTCGAACAACGGCGGCAACGAAGACAAGAGAAGGAGAAAGTTAGTCTTTCTGAGCTTCTAGACCAAGGTGAAAGCTTCGTTCCCGAGTCTTCGCCGCCGCCCATGGCAACAAAGAAGCCATCCCCGACAACAAAGACAAACCCATTCATTGACACACCACCTCGCTTCCCAGCGCTTATGAGTTCACCAAAGAAGAGCAGTCCTTTGAGGCGAGAACTTCAAAGCGCCGACATCTCAACAAGCTCGGTGCAATTTGAAGAGTCTACTTTGCCACTCGCTCAAAGCTCACCGTTCCATACTATTGTGGATGGCGATAGCAAAATCTCTGCAGCATCCGATCAACGACAGTTCCGTGTAGAGATGGAGGGTAACACAGCTTCTACGATTGTCCGCGTGCGCGAGGAAGCGAATGAATATCTGGATGCCTACGAGCCGCAAGAGCGGACTTTGAACGACCTTACTGAGGTCACTGAGGAGCCCAGCAGAATTTCGCACCAACAGCGCAGTCGTCTTCCGTCAAGTCCACCAAAGATGCAGCAACGGTTCCAGCAGAACCTGTTATCTGCCCGCAAGCCTTCGCCACTCTCCCAGGCCTCGCATCAGCCTGAAGAGGACACCGCATCATCACCGCAACAATCGCCCGCGCGTTACAAAGGTCCGCAAGTCGTCGACGAGTCAATCGAAAGTTCCATTAGCGAGGAGTCGCAAGCAAGCCCAGAAGCAAGCAGCCAACCTGCCACATCTCCACCCCAGCAACCACACCTCCTCGACCGCGTCAAATCTACCCTCACACGACCACCACCGCCATCCCCCCACCCAATCCTCTCCCACCTCCACCCCCTCCCCAAAATCGAACCCTGGACCCGCACCCACTACAAAGCCCTCGACAAACTCTACACAACCCACCTCAAACACCCCGCCCTCTTCTGCCCCTCCACCATCCCCCCAACCCGTCTCTCAGCCACAAACCACACCCTCCTCCGCCAATTCCTCTCCCAAAACGGAAACCTGCCATACGTCGGCGCCATATTTCACGCCTGGGGCTACAGCATGGAGATGACGGAGGAGTTGGTTGTTATGTGCAGTGTGTTTATGCAATTGCTTACGCTGGAGAATGAAGAGGAGTATTTCGAGGTTACGCAAAGGAGGTTGCAGGTGGGAGATTGTGCGCCGGGCAGGATTGGGGAGAGGATTACGGGACAGGAGGTGCTTAGGAGGTGCGCGACTGTTGTTATGGGGGAGAGTGTTAGGAGGGATGAGAGGGAGGGGAGGAGTATTGATAGGAGCTTGGGGTTGGAGGTTGAGTGGCCGGTTGGGAGAAGGTGATTTTGGTTTGGTTGGGTGGGTTGGGTTGGCGTTTTGGATTGGATGCGCTTATGAATGTTATGATACCTGTTTCTTACTCTTTGGATAGGTGGGGTTGGAGTTTGGGGGATGTTGAGATACCTTTATTTGGTCATTTTGGATGCTATTGAACTTCACTTGTTCTTTTGCAGCTAAAATGTCAACGAGTTTGTCAATGCATGTCTTGGATCAAGAACTTATTCCAGTATGCAATCTTTTGTACTCGAAGTAAGGTTACATCTTATTGCGTAAAGATGCCTGCAAGAACTAAAAAGCTCTGAAGGGTCATGGTTTAACATGGAAGTATCTTGCTACCCAAAGTTGTCACGCAGGCCACAAAACACGTAAACAAAAAACTTCAAGTGACAGTATGTAACAGAGATAGATCTTACATGGTCTCTCTTTCCTCTTACCTGTTGCAAAAAGGGGCAAAAAAGAAAGATCCGTAAAGGGCTCAACCGGGATTTGACTAACACGCGTTAGTGGTTGATACTTTGGTAATTCGAACACTGGCAACATACACCCGGGACCTCCTGCAGTTTAGAAAGCTTTTCCCAAAGCAGGAATCATGCGACTAGCTAGTAGAGATATTAGTCGGGGTGTTGGGCTTGATTGGGTGAAGTTGGAGACTTACACCATTGAGCCGTGTTGGATGGTTTTGATGACTAATCGGGGATTTGGAAAATATCTAATGTTGAAAGAGATCATCACAGCGTTAGATCTTGCTCTTAAATTATGCTCCGCATGTTGAGTCACTGCGTGGGCGTTGGTTCAAAATTAGTTGTGGGTGGAGACGGTGGAGAGGGGCGGTCAAGACAAGACTCGTTTACATGCAGCAGTGCCTCAACATGCTGGATCACCGCAGACTAGGTATTGTCGTGCATTCGTCAGCACATAGAAAACCTCTTTGGGTGGCCAGACTTCACCATAGTACGTAAAGACAACAAGATGTGCTGCTGATTTGAAGTTTATTGAAGTCTATGTTCGCTTTTCCGCTTATACAGAGAGCCTGACCCGTG